TGTAAATTACTTTGGTTGGCGTTGTTGTTGAAATTTGATTTTTCAGCAAAGCCATGAATTTCTCTTTCTTGGTTGCTCTGCCAACAGTATCACCCTCACTTTCATCATATGATTCAAGTAATTGTATAAAAACTTCACTAAATATTGGACCACGACGGTCCGGACAATATTTGCGCATGACACCAGCAAAACCTTCCAATGTCTTACAGTTCAGAGCAACATGACTGACAAGAGGGACAAGATGAACACTATTCGAGTAGTCATGAGCTATGACAAGTTCTTTCTCACCTAAAATATACATCAGATCTCTTTTTTCGATTAGTTTTCTTCAGTTTACTACTCACTCTGCAACCTTCCATCAATGACAGATAAAATATTTTCTTTCTTCGGTAAATTTAAAAGTCCTCCACTATTTGTATCGGAATAAATCAGATAATAAAATGTAATTAATAATTCATATCTTAAAGTGTCATAATCTAAATGTTTTTCAATGTAATCTTCGTCGATTTGACAATGATTTAACATCGTTCGAATAAAATCGGGTAATGGTAAGAGCAAACTTTTGATATAATCCAATTCGATTTCCTCACGTATTATTCGTGTGCGATTTAGTTTGATTGTTTTTTCTGGTGTTAATTGAATTGGTTGACATAATTCATCATGAAAATAATCGATAAAAGTTTTTTCGATAAAATCCGGTAAGTTGTTATTGATTAATATGTTCGAACTATTTGTACTGAAGGTAGTTGGCAAATCTTTCGCATTACAACCATAAACAAGATTTGCTACAATTGTTTTCACTGTCGCTGAATTCTTTGGATATTTCTTTAGATATTCTTGTCGAAGATATTCATAGTAAATTGGTACGAGAACAGATGTAAGATCATTTCTTAAATAACCAATCGTCAGTGGTATAGATAAATCATATTCTTGAGTATTGACAATGGGTAGTCGCTTCAATAATTTTTCATAGGTCTTCTCACCAAATTGTTCTGCGGTTTTAAAACCTTGAGATTCATCGATTATAAATCGACATACTCTCTCCAGTTCGACTAAGACTTGTTTTTGCCGTTGTGTATTCGTACGTTGTTGAATAATTTCATAGAGTAGTTTTAAAAGTGCAACTTCCTGTTGTTTATCATACCCGTAACTATCTAAGGTATAGAGATAACCAAGCCAGATGCCTTCAAGTATACGTATTCGCTTCATATGTTCATCGTTAATATACAAGGGTATGACTGCATTGACTTGTTCATCGGCGAGAGCACCAGCGATAGAATAGAGATCATTTAGAGTAGTGAATTGTCCTTGAGCTTGTTGATTATTTTTTGCTAGATTCATTCCATTGATAAATGAATCATAGGAAATAATAGTATTGGTCACCTTCAAAAGTTTTAAACCCTTCGCGGGATTGCTGATGACTTCTTCGTCACGTTGAACAAAAATACCCAGACATAAAATATTATCCGTTGATTTTCTCATAATTTCATAGATATCTTCATTGGAGTACGTATCCACCCAATCCTGTTTCTGTTCTTTGATCTTTTGCCATGTATCCGGTGTAATAGAATCTTTATACCCTTGTAATATCCCACTGATATCTGTTCTTTTGAAATAATCGACATTCTTATAGACTCTTAAATCTAATTTCTTCTTTCGTTGTGTATTAGCAAAAATTGGATCATGCCTCAATGCACTCAATTGCAATTTTACACGTTCAGGTACTTGAGTCATTTTCAATTGTGTAAATAATTGTCGATATTCCATCATACGCTGATCGATTTCCTTGTAAATTTGTTCCGTTTCTAGACGTTCCGCGAAATTTTTGCTGTTTGTTATTTGAATATCATTCAAATAGGTTTGAATTAATTTGACCTGTTCTTCGTTTTCCGGTTGAATAAGGTTCAGTGCATGGAGAAGATGTATCGCACGAATGTCTTTCATCGGTAGTAGAAGAAATTGTGTCGTTGTTGATTTATCATCAATGAGTGTCAATTCGGTCATCGCACTGAGATCGTCACCATCGTTCGTAAGAAAACCAACGGTTTCGTTATCGATATTATTTGCAGTATAAGTCTTTCCATTTGGGAATTTGATAGTGAATTGACGAACATTTAATGCATATTCGAACATATCATTAAAATTATTTTGTAATTCTCTGGATTCTGTTGAATAACGAAAGAGACCTTGCCGAGTACCAAATGTTCGGATTTGATTAAGAAATGTATCGTTTACTTCACCGAAGCCGATCACGTGAAATGTAATGGGAGGTGACTGAAAGAGAACAAAGTATTAAATTATTTAAAAAATAGCTGCACAATGACTTACATTTGTCATTCCACTTAACATCAACTTTAGCATTTGAATACTCTTCTGCAATGCTGGTCCATTTGGTTCATTATCTTGTCCATCAGTCATAAATATGAAGGTTACTGGCTTTTTGGCTGATGCATTTTGTAGAAGATAATCTTTGATGGCAGTGAATATACAGGCAAATGAGGTTCCACCACTGGCTTGGAGATTATCATTTCGTTCAGATAATGTCTTTAATGTACGTTTGACATCTGTCTGAGTATTGTATGTGAATAGACGATAGTCTTTTTGTGTACGTTGATATATATCACGTAAGACTTCACAGACATTGTTTATAGGACTACCAGACATCGAGCCACTTACGTCAACACAACAGATGATGTCAAAATCACCTCCAGCAGCAGCAGCGTTATAGGTTCCTTCCAGATGTGAAAGTTTGATTTCTACATAGTTTTGATGGTTAAAAAGCGGTAATTTCAAATATGCCGCCATAGGCAATTCTTGTTTTCAAAGGCAACAAAGTGAATAAATGAAAGTAGAATTTTGTGATTTAAATACTGCAATTTTGCAACCATATTGTGCAATGACTCGAAGAAAAAACCGAAAAAAATGACTCATATAGAAATGGCGAGCTTTATCTCTGGCATATTCTTAGCACAAGAAAAACATTTTTCATATACGAAATCGTATACTAATCAATTTTTGAACGTTTCATCCATTGTTATGAAAAAATGATCACATTTCATAAAAATGAATCAATTTCTATTAGTCATCAACGGCAAAAGTACTGTATCTAGGCCTCATTTATTCATGTGTCGACGATCAAAAATAGTGCTTTATCCTTCAAACATTGTTTTTTTCTTTCCTAATCTAAGCGTCACTTGCGCACGACCAAAGTGGGTTTTTTACAAAAAAAATGTCGTCTGATATGTCATAAAGCATTGCTTTATTCTTCTTTTTAGATTATTAAATTATCATTATGTTTATCACATAAAAGAAAAAGCCGCTATATTGTGTGAAGGTGACCATTTCTCTGTCCTGTTTTTTTCATGTTTTTGCTTCTAAAATGCACCTTCTTTTTGAGTGTCTAGAAGAAGTTTTACACAATCTGATAAAGCAACGAAAGACGCCCCTTTTGGTAAAAAATATTTATTTCAAAGCACTAGCAAAGCCTCGAAAAGACTATAACATTTTTTCGTATTTTCAGAAAAAATCATTGCTTGATTCTCTATTTTAACCGAAATAATTACAGTTTAAGCCAAAACTAGTAACATATATGGAATTAGCGTTGAAAATTGACCTAGTCTGCGTATGTTTCAAGGGATTTTCTTCATTTTTTTTTCACCAAAAATTTTGCTCTGCTTCTCCTCAGGACCGTGAAGAAAAACAAATTCCGATGAAAAGGCATTTGACAGTACAAATCAAGTTTCAAGCTAGTAACACGCTGTTAGTAGACAAAATGGCATGGACCTAACCTATGAAAACAGTGTTTTAATGGAATTGATTTTTCTTCAGGGTACTGAGGGAAAGTAGGGCAAAATTTTTGCTAAAAGAAAAATGAAGAAAATTCCTTGAAAAATACGCAGACTACTCTGAAAAAAAAGGAGCTTGACAGAACCATTTTTAGGGGGTTCTGCTGTTTGACATTGTACGGAACCCCGTCTGAATAATTCTGTCCAAAAATTAGTTCTGTGCAAAACTAGAAAAACCGTTTACATTTATATAGGAAGAATAGTTCCGCTTGATCAGAAATTTATACACTGAGAAGGTTCACGGAAAATCATTGGTTTCTCTTAAACAACGGTTCTGGATGTCATTTGAGACTCCAATTCTAATTTTTGGGAGCTACGTTTTAAAGGCGGCTATGATGTTTTGACCACAAAACATATGTAGGTTTGCACAGGAAGACTTCCTCTATCTAGTGGTGTATATATTATCAAATTCTGTTGCGTACCGTGAGAGAAAATTAAAGGTAACCCCTCTCTTTTTACACTTTCTTAGAAATATTTTTTATTTTTGAGTTAAATATTGTACATTATAGAGTAAAGTGTCCTCTACAGAACAAGACCACTTCCAGCTCTCTAAGACCTTTCATTGAGGAGATACAAATTTTTTAAAGTTTGTTACTTTATTCTGAAAAAACCCTAGTTTCTTACTTTCGAAACTCTTTCCTCTTTCGTTTCAAAATAAAAATTCTTAAGTTTGAAATTGTGAAATTCTGAGATTTTGTATAAGTGTGACTGTCGCACACTGTATAAGGATAAGTTTGAAATTGTGAAATTCTGAGATTTTGCATAAGTGTGGCTGTCGCACACTGTATAAGGATAAGTTTGAAATTCTGAAATTCTGAAATTCTGAAGTTTGTCGTTCACTTCGTGGTTATACAGTATAATGATAATTTGACAGCTCTGATTATTCCACTTTTAATTAGCAAGGTGAGCAGAATACAAAAATTAATTTAGAGCTAGGGCACATTCAATAACTCAGTCTTATCCTTACTTTGTTCGCTAAGGAGAAAACGTTTTGTGTGCTCATATACCAAAAAAGAATCAGAACTAAGAATTGTATGATCGAAGGGAATAAAATAAAATTTTCCTGTGAGAATTATTTATAGCCAAATAGATAAAAATGTATACAGATGATGTAAAATATACAAATTACAAAATATTATATACAGAATCTATGCACTATGTGTAGAGATGGGCAGCTCCGGCTACGGAGCCGACCGACTCCAGCCCAGCTCGTAGGAGCCGGCTTCTCTTATAAACGGAGCCGGAGCCGGACGGGAAACATTGGACCTGGAGCCGGAGTTGGAGCCGGAGCCGGGCGTCAAATACTTCGATTGGAGCCGGAGCCGGGCGTGAATTTTTGTAATCGGAGCCGGAGTCGGAGCCGAGAACTGTTTGCCGGCTCCGAATTTTTCTCATTCTGTTAACAATGTGGGTGAGCTGACAATGCTGACATTTTCTACATATATTCGCTCTATTTCTTTGTTTACATATATATGTATCGGTAATATCTACATCTTTCTTTTGTTACAAGTGGCTAACTCTCGATCGTCGATCATATGATAATTTCTTTCTGTCAAGTATTTTCGTATTGTTTTCTCTTGCCTTTTTCTTTGTTTCCGTCTTATGACAACTTAGGTATATTCCAACTGTTGCCTAAATTTCACATATAAATATTAGCTATTCTTCTACGAGAAAGCTATTTATGCACATCAACGTTTTCGAGCATCTAACAGCAATAACATATTTGATCATATTCTGAACTAACATATTTTTCATTAACCATTTACTAACGATGATCTCTGATCCCGACGATCAAGCCGACTGTACACCAGTTGTGACTGATGATGTTATCGTTCACGATTCAACTATCGCTTCTGATTCTCACTATCAAGGACAAATCGATTCAGTACGATGACACTAAAATCGCACCCACTTGCTTGGCACAATTCTTCATCAATTATAACACTGAGACCAAATCATCTGTGTGTTTACTATGCAAAACTACAGTAAAGGAGTCTGGTGACTCAACTTTCAACTTTGTGCGTCACGTAAAACGTAATCACGGTGATGCTTATAATACATGGACAATGGCAATGGCTACAAAAGAAGAAAAGATACAATCAAAACAGCCGTCGATCAAGGATGCTATGAACAGTCCTCGTGGCACAAAATACACAAGTGGTCATTCTCGACAAATACAATTGTCTAAAATGGTAACAAATGATCTGATTAATGGTCTCGTATTACCGCTGTCAATTGTTGAGCGAACTGAATTTCTTCGAGCAATGCATACTGTTTATCCGAAGTTTGTCGTTCCATCTCCACGTTCTATATGCCGTGATGTTTTACCAAAGACTGTCGAAAAGGTCGAAAGTGAACTGAAGCGTATCTGCAAATCAAGTCGTTTTGTTTCAGTGACAATTGATACCTGGACCGACAGAAGAATGCGATGTTTTTATGGAATTACAATTCATCTAATTGAACAATGTCTATTCAAATCGTATCTATTGGCATTTAAATACCTTTCAGGTACTTTTTTCATATCATGTACTCAAATTTTCTTTTTCTATCTTGTGTGCTGAAAATATGACATAAATTTTCATTTTTCTACACCAAAAAATCGACTGTTAAATCTACATAGAAATCAATTATAAGACATCGATCTCTCAGGCAGTCTTTGGGTAACAATCACTTCTAGAAAGGACATCATATAATGTCCAATAACTTGATTAGAATTTATCATTCAAAATACTATATGACTGTGCGGGACAAAAAAGATTTTTTTCAGCTCACTATGTGCTCCATACTTTTGAATGTTTATTATTTGATAATTTAAGAAAAAATGAGTAAACTATTGACGCTTTTTTTTATTACACGACACTAATATAAGCCTAATATACGTCGGTTTTCTTTATATTTTTTGTAGATAAGCTCATTAATCAAGTATATTCGAAAAAATATGTACGTTTATATTTTATTAATTTTGTTATCATTTAACAAAATGATATCGATTTTCACGTTTGTTTCATAACTCTTGGCTTTGTTATCATATAATTGACTTTGAATATTTAGATAATTGTAAATAATACGCCGTCTATTTTATTATCAAATATTCTATCAAGTAAGTGTTTGCTTTTTAAGTGTAAATCAAAATTACAATATAGACTCTATTTAAGTCAATTATTTATCTAAAACTGCAACATAGTATTGCCTACGCAAAAGCTCAAATGTATGTTTAGATAATAAAGGTTAAATACTGTAAACAATAAAAGATCACTTTTTAAGCTTAACTCTTCTGAAAGGACGCGAAGCTCAAAACAGTGAAGGCGTTTAACTAACTAACTAACTAATAATTTACAATTACCGACAGAATTCCAATTTTTTCGTCCCTAATTTAGAATAAATGACTTGCAATATATGGAAGTCAGATATCTTGTGGCAATGTATATAAAAATATATGTTTTCTCCAACAACAGATAAGGGCTGTGTTTTGCTCATGCTGAATTTCCGGATCACTTGAAAGCAGCCAGTTTCCTGTTTTTTCTTTTTACAAATAAATTACAAAATACAAATACGTTGTTGCGCATTGAAGACCAATGCATAATTGGATCTTGGAAAAAATTATAAAGGTTCAAAAGGACTTCATAGGACCTCAACGACTGTCAGCAGTAATGGCGTTCCTTGTAGCCCGGGAAACAGATAGTTCTCACGAAGATTTCCGAACCAACTATGGTTCGGTAATATTATTCTGAACTATAAAAGGTTCGTTTTTAGGTGTTTGTATGTAAACGTTTTCATCAGAAATTAGAGCGAAAAAATTATTTTCCTTGTGAATTGAAGTCATTCATCTTTTAATGAATAAGTAGAATCAATCACAAACAGTCTTACCCTGAAAAATCATGCATACTATCGAAAGGAAGTGATTTCACTGGATGAAAGGCAATAAGTTTTGTAAAGTCAATGGGACCGCTCACACTAAACACAAAGTTGTTTATTTCTTATGATTTATTTTAGTGGTGTTCATAGGAATTTCACATCGTGGTGAAAACGAAACATTGGTTAATGGAATTCAATTGTAGTTGTATGAAATACAACACATACAACAAAAATATCCACTACTGAAAGTTTTTTGAAAACCTCCTAACTCATTCGCGGCTAGATTATCTAATGCGATTAAGCTAACTACAAAATATATACGTCCACTACATGTCGGTAATGTCAATCGATTTGTTTGTAAATCATTTAATTCATTGATAATTTTATTGAAATATTTTTGTCGATGAAATGCGTTAGATAAGGATTTTGATAAACAAATACCAAGTAAATGAATCGAGTCTAATGATGATCGGCCAACTGAAAGCAAATCATCAAGAATATAATAAAGAAATGAAAGTTTCTTTTCATGTTTTTGTGGTTCAACGGGATTCGTAATACTCACTTTATCAGTATACAATTGTAATAAAAATGAATTTTGTATGGTTTTTTTTAATCGAGATATGGTGGTAGCAAATCATTATCGTTCTTTTCGGGAATATTTTCATCTGTATTTTTAATTGATAAATTTAGAACATCGAATTTACTTAGAAAATTTGTGACTAGTGTTTTTATGGGAATAAATCTCCATATTCACTCAGCTCGATTTCTGAGGCTCCACATATCGGAAAAAGTTTATTGTTTACAATTTTTAATAGTCTTTAGAGAACAGTCGATCAGACAGGTTAAATTCGGATAGGAGTAATAGACAACAAGTAAAAACAGTGACTGTTAAAAAAGCTCACACAGCATCCACATTTTTTCACAGGACTTCCATTGAGTGGAATGCATTACCCGAAATAGTAGTTACCTGTAATACTCTAAAACGTTTTAAACGTGTGTTGCGTAGTTATCTAAAAATTTAGTATGTAAAGTCAAAGTGACTGTTTTTTACTTTTATCTACTGTGCATCATCAATTTTAACCTCGTTTAAAGCAGTATGCCATATGCCATAACATTTTTTGATGTGATTTCATGTATAGGTTTTTGCATTTTATTTTTCCTTTTTTTTTGTTTCTATTTCTTGCTCTGTTAAACATAGTAGGACTTTGTAAGAAAGAAAAGTCAACATTTTCTCTTTTGCGAGAAAATAAATTCAAGGTTCAGCGTTTAATGTCATTTTTGTCTCACTGTGAGACATTGTATACTTTTCTCACTATATGATTTCTGACGTACAGAGGTGAGCAATGTTATTTTTTCTTTATATAAAATATGTTGTCTCGTGTATGATGCAATTACAGATAAGTTGTTATATAACGAAAGAGAAGTAACTATTTTTACTTGTTTCAAAAAAACTTTCAACACTTCAGATTCAATGTACCGTTATTCATTTGTCAATAAGAATGGTGTCGAAGTTTGATGATTTATCGAATGAGGTTATTCTATGTATTTTTGAATATTTGTCGCCAGCCGAGAAGTTTTGTACATTTTTTAACTGCAATGATCGTTTGCATCAGTTGATGAAAAAATGGACTAATTACAGTAGAAAATCATTGAAAGCTGACGTTGATCGTTATTCAACTTTGCATAGTTGGTATAAACATTTAACGTTTGATGAATTTGGAACACTTTGCTATATTCTACCACGAAAAGGTGAACAACCACGATATAGTTTTGATCCTCGTATTAGAGATTCAAATGGTATACACTGGCATTTTTTAGGAAGTATCAGTCATTTAACAGATAAACCAATACAAAAAATTGTTCAAAGATTTCCGTTTAGATTAAATCCGTTGTTCTATAATTCTGGAAACAATACTAGTAGTTACTTAATGGTAGTTAGAAAAAACTATAAAGAATATTTCGAAACAACATACCCGGTAGAATATAAACAATGTCTAACTAATAACGGTTTATTTGATTATAAAAACGACATAATTTCGAAATTATTAAGACAAGACTATGAACGTCAATATAAAGATATACAACAAGCAGCTGATTGTGTATGGAACGGATTAAAAGAATTAAATGATCTCAATATATTAAACATTAATTAGGAATAGTGATTTACACAGAAACAGCAAAGGGATAGTACAGTGTAAGAGTTAGTGATGCGAAGGAACATTACCAAGCGGACTGTGTGAAGTCATATTGAAACATTCATACTTTGTTAAACTGAAGGCGGTAAATGCATCACAGATGCCTTGGTAAACCCTAAGAAATAACTAAATGCTACATGTTTATATGTAATTTTTCATCCTACAGTTGTTTCCCACCTCTTTGGAATCACTTTTCTAAAATTCAAAAGCCCTCCGAATGACAACTACAGCATAGACACAACAAATGATATATTTTTTCTCGCTGGTAGTTATAACTCTGCTTTAGAGACATACGCCAACATTGCGAGACGCATGTGTTGACATATCGTGTTTGTAATTATCGTTGTAAGGTTATTCTCGAAGTCTCGAAGACAATGACAGCATTTAGCCGAAGCTTCATTTAGACGAATGTGGCCTTGATTCTCTTGATAAAATGCCGTTGCGACGCACAGGCAGGAGAGCAAGTGAAGCTGAAGGAGTGTTGCGCGCATACGCAAGTTGTGTTGTTTTGCCCAAAACGAGCTAATAGCTATTCACTAGCTATTCGTGAAGGAAGCGAATTGGAATGTTTCAGTCGAGGGACTACATGGTTGCTTTAAGGCATTGTTTGAAAAGGAAATAATCGACATATTTGACGTGGTTATAGTTCAATGAGTGTGTGTATGTACAAATAATTTCTATTAATAATAATTAATAGGTCTATTAATAATCTATTATTTCTAATAGTAATCAAAGGGAATGGTCAACACAAACTCTTAAACCATTTTCTCCACGATCGAAACAAGAAATAAGGATAGTTTATACGAAGATGTGCATGTAGATATGATTTACTGAACTTTCATCGAAAAGGAATTTTATAAAATGACGTTTAAAAAACAAAGTTGTTTTAAACTTTTAGTTGATTATAAAGTTTATAGGGTGTGGGTGTCGCTGAAGAAACACACACCCACACCCCACACCCACGTCCACACCCTCAAGTTGGAGAAGAAAATACAACTTAGAAGCAGAAAACATCAACGATACTAAATATCTAAGTACGAATGGACTCTGATCGTGACTCTATCAGTGATGACTTATATGACACTTAGAAAATAATTGTGTTTTCTTACTATCATTAAACTTAAATAAAAACAACATATTGTTTATTCTCTTGATATTAAATAAATAAGCAAAGTATCTGAAATGAGACTGAGCCTCTTTAGAATAATTTTTATGTAATTTTTCTTCTCCTTATTATATACTTCAACACTCATTAACTGTCGTGTTCCACACAAGCACAGAGAATATTCCTAAACATGCTCTTCGATTTGGATTTTCTCGGATTCTTTGAATTAAAATTCAGACAAAATTCGCTTTGCTCCCCTCAGTTGGACATCGACTTCGCCATCCAGTCCTTACGAGACAAGAGAAACAAGCGAGGCGGTGTTGGGTGGCAAGAAAGCAAGAAAAAATGTATCCCGTTTTCATCGTTCTTCACATAACATAGCGAGGAGAACACAAACTTTATTTTAGTCAGCGAGAGAGAGAAAATTGCATTGATAATGTTTTGGTTCTGTCACACATTATTTTTTCATATAGTGATAGTGTTGCTGTTTTTTGTCGCGTAAAGAAAACGGAGAAGAGAAGGAGGTCGTAAGCGTTTTCGTAGCAGACACACAATGTCGGGTGAACTTGGCAAAAAGTATCCCTGCTTTGGTGAATTCAAATGTCCTCATTGTCACAAAAAGTGGTCGAGCAGCAAGGCCTGGGCTGATTACGGACAAAAATGTAAATCTTGTTCGACCAATGTAAAAGCCTTTGATCTTCAAAAGCTCTTCGTGTACATCTGCAGCCATTGCAAGGTCAAATGGACCTCAACCTACGCACCTTATGGATTGCAATGCAATAATTGTTCTTCGTCGACACTCGTCTGGCCACTTGATCGTGATAAATACCAAGATCGTCAATTTATTCGAGCTCACCGCCTGCGAGATCTCAACGATGGAAGTAACGACGAAAATCACATCAATCCAAACAAAGAACACCGACAAGATTTGTGTGAAAAGTGCCAGATGTTGGGCCGACCATGTCGTGAGACGACTGGTCAAGAATACATGCAGGGAGTTAATCAAAGATCTTCGATTGTGAGTCAACATTCTAACCACCTCTCTATTCCCTTCTTCGTAGCTATTGAAATCTAACCGATTCTCAGTTTTTTTAAATCAAACATAACGAAGTGAAACAGTTCTGAGATGTGTTTTCTGGCGAACATGTTTGCTTATGCGATAGGAACACAGTTTTTAGTTGATTTGAAAATAATTTTTATTCGAGTTTTTGTTTCTTTTAGGACTATGATTTACCGATTTCAGAGTTCAAATCGCTCTCATTCGACGATTCAACTGATAGTCTGGATCACAAATCCTATTCTCGGTTGTCAAAACAGTCTCAACCTGCCTCGTATCGAACTCCGTCTGCTTGTTCCTCTTCATTCAACACAAAATATATTGCTAACACTAAATCTGCATGTTCGTCCGGCACTCGACTAGCGTCGTTATATAAATCCAATACTTCTCCATCAAGCGTGACGGCCAGAGCAACGAAAGCAAACACTGTCTCAAACGAAACACTTCGACCTTCGTCAGTCTATCCTCCGAGTTCGGTTTTGTTTAGCAATGAATCCAATAATTCGTCTTCAGATGGTTGGTGCACCATATTGTGACCGAGTTTGGTATCTGGGATCTGTTTGAACTCGTCAAACATGATATTCAAATAACATATCTTATTTGTATAAAGCTCAACATTCGAACAATTTTCTTCATTTTCTCAATTATTTCTTGAAATCCATGGCATAATCGAGCTAATTGGCACAAACATATTAATCAGACACGCACGTACGTTCAACCTTTTTCGCATCTACTTTTATGTGATTATCTCCTTGTCCGAACAAAATTCGCTTTCAGAACAAGTTTCTCGAAATACTTTTCGGAATCAATCGTGAAATTGATTTGTGAACAGTTTTCTATTGGACTGATGAAATCGAAGGATGAATCATCTTTGGAAAAATATCATCAGTGGAACATCTTCGGAAAGTTGATCGTTTGGTTGAAATATTCGAAAAGAAAAGATCAATTTGTTTGATTGCATTGATGAATAAGATTTCGATTTGATTTTCGTTCATATATGATCAACATCTTTTAAGAAGTCCGGTTATGTTAAATCGTTTATCATCGATCGAAATCCGAAGTTTCTATTCTACTGAGTTTGAGTGATGATGTTCAGCTTTGTTTTTCATTTTCAGTTCATCGAATAAACATTACCAAAATGTTAAATCGAATCATCTGAAAAGAAATTAGACTGGAGTTTTCCAATGACAATCTGATGACGAAAGATCTGTTTCAAAGTGGAAATCAATGTTTTCATTGGATTTCTGATCATCGAAACTTCAGTTTCAATGTAGATTGATTCTCGGCTCGTATTTGTCTCATTGACTAACTATCGACATAAATCATTTCCGATGAAATTTACAAATTGAACTTGCGCAAATGATTGAAACTCGCTTTTGTAGAAAAATCTTAACATTTGTTGAAAAACGCGATTTTATTTTTTATGTCGAAGATTGTCCAGTGTCGGTGACAAATTCTCATGTTCAACAATGATTCGAGGTCTTTGACGAGTTGATTTCATCAGCGTTCTTTGACATCGATCAGGGAACTTCCCCTTCGTCTCTAATCTTCGGAACAGATCAAATTCTCAGCTTATCCTCATCAACAACGACTCGATTGTTTCGATGTCGAAATTTTTCTTTGTCTTTTCGTTGTCAATTTCGTCTATTGTTTCAGTCTATAATTCACGAGAGTTCCTCTCACCTGTCAACAATCAAACAGAGTCAAAAAACGATCGATCGATTGTTCAACTTGACAAACGAGGAATTGAATCGATGCATTCTTTCTTCGAATAGTCATGAAAGAGGTCAGTCGCATCAACTTCGACTTTTCTTTCATTCTCGATAACAAAAATAGAAAGAGCAATTCGATTCTTAAAAGAGCGAGAAGATTTTTCTCAAAAGTCGCAGATGGTGGTGAGACCAAATCATTTCGAACAAGTCGCTAATCTGTTCTCGCTTCGTCGAACAACAAGTTCGACTACTGACTACAGATCAACCGAGGGGTGTGAGTGTGCGTGTGGATCTGAATGTGGGTGTGGGTGACCTAGGACGTAACACACATGCCCTGAAAATTTCAACCAGATCAACTGTTCTGAGAAGAAAATCTTTTTGAGCGGAAGAGGCACTAAAAAAAAAAGATCCTAATTGAATATCACTAATCGATATCATTCAATCATCATCGAGTATTATCAGCGCTGTTCTTTGTCTGATGCATCTAAAAAGTTTATTGTACTCGTACTGGTATTTTCTATTTTGTACTTTAAGTTCACGTTAATTGAATTAAGCGAATCAAGGAAACTCTCCAGCATTTTCCTGTCTCCGTACTATACGATGAAAACGTCATCGAGATATCGGAAAAATCGATATGGGAGATGCTCACATTTATCGAAGAGTTTCAATTCATTTAGCAGAACAAAAAGGTTTGCGTAAGGTGGGTCACAAGGCGTTTCCATTGCTGTGCCAAATTTTTGCGAGTAAAATTTTTCGGTAAAGTGAAAAACATTATTTTCCAATACTGACTTGAGGAGCTGCAGCAGACCCTGATAAGTGAGGGGTATATCCGCAGCATTTGTATTCTTATTTTCGAATACAAAGTTCGTGACTTTAGCAGCTCCCTCGTCATAACTTTCCCAGAGTGTGGGTGCGGGTGTGAGATCTCGTCTTGTTTCAGTTTAAGAACTATTTGTCAGACTATTTGTCTAGAAGGATCTCTTGACTTCGAACGAAAATAAAATCCAATTGATCGCATCATATTGGAACAGACAATATTATTTATGTGAAGATCAATTTTCTTTTTTCCTTTTTCTAAATCAAATGATAAAGAACGAGAATGAAATTCTCATTCACATAGTTCCTTGCAAAACAATTCACATATGCACAACAGTCTTTCTCTTTGTATATTTATGTGAAATAAATCTGGTGGACAAAACTATTCCAATTATTGCCAAAGACATATTTTAATCAACAATTATTGATCGATTCATGTTATGCCAGTCGCACGACTAACATAAACATGCCTATATCTCATCGTGTCATCCTGTGACACCATTGTATATATTACATCATGTTTTCTGTTACGTTCTTTCTTTCTTTCTCGCCTTGTACTAGAGAGTGCCTTCGTTTTCTGAATAAAACAGTTGCACATACAAGTGAAGATTCGAACAAGTTAGGTGGAGCCTAACAATTGGTGCACTGGCCGGCTTACTGTCAGTCAGACATCACAGTAAGTACAACCCGTGGTGTTTTCTTTGCTTGTCATCACAGCACGATGGACCAGATTGCGATACAGATGCCCGAACAGTAACATAACCACTTCGCAACACCAGTAATATTATCTGTATTAGCCAAGGCGATAAAAGAAGCCCCGAAATTTTCTGGTACAAACCATGATGATGTTGAACACTGGCTGTTCGAAATAGCGGAAACATTCGACATCATTGATCTGAATTCATCACAGCGACTTCAACTAATACCCCTATATCTTGATGGCGAAGCGAAGAATTGGTGGCGATTAAACAAAGATAGCATTCACTCATGGCCGGAATTTATGGGCACAATCGCGAATGTGTTTAGAGGATCTGATCAACACTCACTTTCATTTCATAAACTGAATAATCATAAACAACGATCCGACGAATCTGTGATTGAATACTATAACACGATGATCAAATTATGTAATCAAACTGATCCGAATATGGCTGATACTTCCAAATTAAATTATTTACAAATGGATTTAAAGCAGTCATTACAAAACGACGTTTTTCGTCGTCATCCATCAACGGCAGCCCAATTCTTTCAAGTAGCACAAGAAGAAGAATCATTACAAACTATTGTCCGTACCTATGCAGCATTAACTGCTTCGGTTTTCATCGATCCCCTCAAGTCCAAAGCTGAGCCGGAAGCGTCTATATCATCTGTTCAATGTTCACCTCAAAAACCAAGTGCTCGTCCAGCACCATATCATCAGAATTCGTCTGCTACAAAAAGTTACAATCCTCCTCATTATTCACAACTTACTAATAGAACACATACCCCAAAGAAAGCATCTCCCCGCTGTTTTGGGTGTGGTAAAGTCGTATATTTCGTCCACACTTGTATTCAACATCCTCCAAAAAGAGCCTGTTACCGCACAAGTCCTTCGTTGATATACATCGGTGTGTTTGTCAATGGGAAAAGAATCCGAGCCCTTGTCGATACTGGTGCTACACATTCATTTATAACTCAAGGAACTCTCGGTTAGCTGCGACATTCGCCCATGCACTCATCAAAATCTACCGCACATCTCGCTGATCAAAATAAGTCACTTAAAATACTGGGCGAAGTCAAATTAAATATCAGAATCAATGATGTCACTACACCTATTACTGCATTGGTGGTTAAATCATTGAACGCCGACTTTATTCTGGGTGGAAATTGGTGTTACGACACAGGAGCAATAATTGAATATGATAAACAACAAGTTTCTATTCGATCGTATTATGGTCGCTCTTCTATTCGATACGATAAACAAATTGACACTCTGGCATTAGATCTTAAACTGTTGAATTCGGCCTCGATACCTCCTCGAGAGTCCATTGTGGTTCAAGCAAAACTTGATCTTTCTTCCGCCAAATTTGCTTATTTTCATCCTGATATTGACCTACAACAACCTAAGTGTATTTCTATGACATCGGCACTATTGAAGATCGACAAGTATTCTACATTTCTGGAAATCTATAATCCAAGTGAATTTTCACGGACACTGTATAAAAATGCCGTGTTAGGACAAGTGACTTATACACCGCCCAATGTTGCAAGTTTCGATGCATTTGAGAATTTATCATCTCTTAATCAAACATCACCTTCGGTGAACTCCATCACACAAAAAAGTCGACAAAAAAAGGCGAAAGAGGACAATAAGCTGCAAGCTAAGGTTGAGACACTGTTCACAAATCTAAAAATGCCTCGGGATAGCAGAAAAAAATTTGTAAATCGGGTTTTATAGTTCGAAAGCACCGTCGGAAGAAATTAAAGGAATGACGGTAGGAAATCAAAAATTCTGTGGAAAGAGAAAAAATATGCCGATATCAACGTATTAATAGGCGTTTTTGTTGATTAGTGGTACTAGAATCTAAAATTGTTTTGTACTTATGCCATGTTCGAATTAGTGCCACCGAGTCAGTCACAGCACTAGTAAATATTTTATCCAGTAAGAAAAAACTCGGTCCAAAAAAGTTCTTTCACCCGATATTGAAAAAAAATCGATGGTACTTAAATAAAAACACCCGTAAACACGCTTCAAATAAAAGGCAAAAAGGCTGCAAATTCGTTCTTGCTGTCGAGAAGTAAAATAAAAGAATAGTGGGATGATCCAAACAAAATACGGATAAACAAAAGCAAAAAAAGCTCGACGACGGAGATTAATCGAAAACTGTTGATATCGTACGAAATTCACAGACACAATATGAAAAGATGAAAAAATCTGAGAACATTGAAGATTCAAAAACTGGCCAAGACCTAATTTTGATGTCATTAAATAACCGAGATCAGTGAATTTATTAACAAATTTGATCTCATGTCCATTATAATTCAACTTCAAAGATGGAACTTGGATCTGTGAGTGAATCAAAATCGCAACCGTTTTTGTCACACTCAACTCAACCAACCAATATTCACAATACACATGAATTTTATCGAACGCCTCTTGTCCTTGTCGTTGCAACAAAGTACATGAAGTCGAAAAACATAAACCATACGGAACAGAGAAAAAAAGACTCCAATCATCGGCAAAAAAATTATCCTTCCGAACCGGCTCTTTGATTTCGACTAAATCGGCAATGTATGGAATATAAATTAAAGGTGAAATGACTGAACCTTGGGGTAATCCCCACTCGATGTTGAAAACGTCCGATTCTAAAGCACCGAATGACACATAGGCTGAACGATCAGACAACCAACTCCTCAACCATAACCAAAGGCGAAATGGAAGATGAAAACGGGCTAACTTAACAAGTAATGCTTTATGCCATACCTTATCGAATGCACTAACAAAATCAAGTTTTTTACCCATAAAAGTTGTGTTTTTTAGTCTTCTTGTGGCAAGAAATGAGCTTTCAAGAGATGAAAAAATAAGATCTCTGTCTTTCTTAAGGTCAAGACCTTGACAAAGATAAAAGAAGTTTTAGAAGGATTTTGTCTTGTCATTAGAAAATCTTTATGGCGAGGCTTGGTTGCATCATGTTCTCGAAGAAAAGTCAGTGTAAAACATGGTGTACCTATAATTTTCCCCGCGTCTTACATGATCTAATAACCCTTTTTTTAGATGGCCTCACGGTAAAATATTTGGTGTTGAGAGAACTGGAAATGAGTTCTTCAATATCTTAGTTCTCTATGTAGAATCTTTGATCTTAGCAGAACCTGAAGCGAGAAGCCCAATTGGCTCCTCTTTGCTTTTTTGAAGAGCATGTTTACAGTTCTTCTTTCTTGATATGTATACCTCTTATTCTACCTTTATTTTTGTTACTTTGTGATGTTGACTGGGCTCATTGTTATTCTAGGTCGCGAACCTTTGATGACTCTCGCTTTTCGTGAATAAAATAAATTAAAATAATAACTCTGTGAAGAACTGAGTTATCTAGTTATTGCACGATGTTTTACCCGGTTTTTCTTCGGGAACGTGGTACAAAAGGGTGAAATGTTTAATGCATAATGAGTATGTAGCAGCATGGCGAGAGTCCGTATGAACGAAGAAAACTCACAAAGTTGATTAGATCATATTCTCGAAGAAACGTCCGAGTAAAACATGGTGTAATCGACTGCTGCTTAGTTACTGAAAAATAGAAAAATATTGTAATTTTCTTGAATCTTAATTTTTGAGATCGTAATAACGATGAGCCGTTACAATCACCCCGTCGCTCCGGGAGAATCCGTCCCGGATTCAAAAATCAAAGCAGATAAAGCTTTCTTGTTTTTGTTTCTCCTGCTTGAAATTCGAGAGTGAATGATTGGCGCCACTACAAAGAAATCAAACTAGATTGGCACCTAATAGTTTATCTCATTTGAATGAAAATTCAAACACAAGTCAAATCTCGTCTTCTAACTAAATACTGTAAAATATCGTAACGTCAATAAATAACAAATAAATAAAAAACATAACAAATAAAGTTAAATTAAATTAACCAAAAATTGAATTGAAGTAAGTGAAATTGAATTGAAGTAAATTGAATTTGACTTAAATTAAATTTAGAAAAGAAAACATCCAACATCATCGTCATAAAAAAAGAAATAAATAAACAACAACAAGTTCATCATCATTGTCAATTTTCCCTGGACTACATAAATGACGACGATGAGAAGAAGAGGAGAATGTTGAATATTGTTCAATGGGTGGAAAGAGTGGGTAGCCTACTCGTTTTGGTCGAAAAACCCACCGGTGGTGTCAGCTGGTCAAGAAGAGTATTGTATTTAGCGACATTGTTCGCGCAAAAGGCGCAGCTGTTCACCACCGCGCGGGTCTTCGGCCAAAAGGCACCACCCACTGCCGAGATAGTCGTCTTTACAGAAACATTGAGTACAATATTGAGTCTTTTACTCATGTTTATTTTTTTTGAGTTTTGTTTATTATTTTAATAATTGATATTTTGTTTTTGTTATGTTTCCTTTTCTTTTATCGCTTTCTCCCTTGGTTTCCTCTGTCTCAGTTGTTGCTTTTTTGTGTGCTCGTGTAGATAGTTTATTTTTTTCAATATAAATTGAAAGTTTAATCGAGAAAACTTCATATTCACGAGGCGGAGAAAAGTGATAAAATGACCGCCGCTATGCTATTTTGATACAGATTTGAGAAGAGAAAGCTAACGAGAAAAAGGAAAAGAGACTACTTAGCCTAGATTCAAAAAGGCTGTACTGTTTTTTTTCGATCTCAGAGCAACTGTTCAAATGAGAGATTGTTGAGACTATCACTGCTTGAACTAGATTGCTGCTTTACGGCTCGTACAATTGAATTCTTTGACTTTACTGTTTACTTTTCCTCAACAATGAGTGATTATATCCATTACAAGTGGCGACATGCGAGAGAGTGGCTCGTACACACAACAACGTCTCGACGTGCTACGCGCATCTCCAGCTCTCATTCCACACGCCTTCATCAATGAGCTACTTAACAGTAGTTTAATTTATTATTTTATAAAACATCTTATTAAATATTAATTGCACATCTATATGATGCCATCGACGAAATGATCAAAGGCTCCCATTTTGTAAAGCATTCTGTATCTATACTCAATAATGTAAGGTTATTTGATTGTCACAGTTTGTTTTAAGATAGTTTGATGCGTAAGACAAGCGAATTATGAAGAAAATGATTATTATAGTTGTTTGTTACATGTGCTGATCCAGAAACAAACATGTTTCTTTTGTCTGTCAGAGTGACAAGTTGATATTTTTCCTGCAAAAATTTTATTTTCTCAAGAGAAAAATGCGGCTCATCTGTCTGAAGTTAAACCAAGCTGAACAATAGCTCAATGTTTTCGTTGACTTCTGCTCTTTGATCGCATCACTGTAACAAGAAGCTTCATCAAACACTGTATTTTACCATCAAGCAATTCTATCAATGATTAAAAAACTTCATACAGTAGTGAGTGTTCTTTTTGACTCGATAAATCGTATCTAACGGTCATTCCACAATACCAGCCAAAAAACGTAAATCCGTTACGTTTTGTGAAAGTCATAGCTCCTCAGCCGAGCAACATACGCAGTTGGGGAACGCCTTATTTTGTAGCTTAAAGATTTTTCTTTCAAATGGTAATTAAGCAAAATCCACCTCTACCCTAAGGATCTGCTCCTAATTCGTGCCAATAAAGCCATTTTGTACGAAAGTGGCGCAAAGCAAAAACTAGAGGTGCAGAATCTGCCGTTAAAATGAAAAATTTCCCCGGCTGGAAAAACAAAAAAAAGAGGCTTCTCTGTTTAGCGTGTATGTTCGAAAAAATTAATTTTTCCCCAAATTTTTTTCTACCCCCTAATTTTCCAAAAATTTCCACAACCGGTCGTTATCGCACGCGGGTAGATTCTACACCCCTGGCAAGAACATTGTGTTACTTAAACTAAGCGACTGGTAGACTTTGCTTAACTACCATTTGAAAGAAAAATCTTTAAGCTACAAAATAAGACGTTCCCCAACCCTGTAAGTTGCTCGGCTAAAGAGCTATCTATCTGACAAAACGTCACGGAAAAGTCCACTTTTACGTGGAACGGCCGCTAACGGACTGATAAATCGATATCTCAATTCAACTTTTCTCATTATACAATTATCATAATTGTTGTTGACAATAAAAGTGTTGGAGGGTTGGATACCTCAGTTGGATATATCAGAATGTTGATGTATCCGCGGCCGTTATTCTAAAAGACAATCAAAATCAGTGAGAGTGACGTTTTTCGATGGGCAGACGGAAAATTACCGCGACATACATATTCATACGCTTCAGAAAATTATAGCAAAAAACAGGCGATGACTGTTATCTTGATGAAAACTCTAGAAGTCAGGTATTTATATTCATATAACGGGTTTACCAGAAGAAACGGGTCACTTGGTATTCCACCAATATCTGTCAATTTTCATTTCCACGACTCGAACTTCTTTTTAAAAGATTGTCGGTTCAATTCTCTACAAAAACTATATTGAAAATTTGTATACATGATATAAATAAAGCAATATAGATAGAATATAGAAACACTGCGAAGCTTCAGTCGCCATTACTTTGTAGCGTAAAAAATAGTTTTTTAATTTTAGTTCTTTATAGCTTGCAATATAAGACCATGTATAAAAAATGTTCAATATAGTTTTCGAACGCGAATCTTTTAAAAAGAAGTTCGAGTCGTGGGAATGAAAATTGACAGAGGTATTGGTAAAATACCAAGTGACCCATTTCTTCTGATACACCAGTTATAGACCATACAGAGGCTTTGTATTGAGTAAAAGCAGAAGGTTTACTATCGTTAGAAGAATCCTATTCAGTTACATTGGCAGAGCAACTGAAGCGTGAGATACACACAAGGCTTCGAGGAATTGTAAGATCTTTATCTAAAACGAAACTGAAGCTGTATATAAAGATATTTCATGCCAGTGCAAAATGCAGAAAACTATTTCACTTAGAACGATTGGATACCGTTCACTTCTCTTTCCAGAACGCAGCTGAACTTTTGTTATAGAAACTATAGCTCATAAATAAAAATAAAAATAAAGAACCCAAGAACAGAGTTTAAAGTAAAAGCAGGTAGAAACAAGTGGCCTGACAAAGCCAGCTGGAACACATATCCTAGTTTCCAAGGTAGTCGGGATGTATCTTACTCTGGAGGTTGCGTAAGGATATATCATCATACATCCAAGATAGAGGTTACTCTAAATATATCCAGTTATATAGCATATAGATATATCTCATTCTGTTTGAAGAAAATGATGGATGTATCATGATGCCTTAATTCCTTTTATTAAATTTATTTGATATTCTGCCGTTACTGATCTGCACGAAATTCAAGAAAACTCTTGATGTACATTGGTTGTCATCCTATAACATTACCACGATTCGAAGAGAAAGGCGGAAAATCATGCTAGTCGATAACTGCTTTAAGAACTGATTGCGCTTGTTAATTGGCATAAAAAGTACATCTTCGTTCCGTGCTCAGCTCCGATATTGATAGCTCCTTGTATCTCAAAAAGTAAAATGTGTTCTTTACTGGAAAATAGAGTAGAAGTCGTGTACTTCAAACTGACATAAAAATTAAGAGTGATCCGTTCTAGTTAATTTTATCTCAAGCGAGCAGACTATAGCGTAATTTTATAGTGAATGCAGTCAACAAATCGATATGAAAATATAAATTTGACCTCTCTTATTTGATCACTATAGTTTAACTATATTTTCTTTGCTTATGTACTGTAGAATTATCATCTGACGCTATGTCTGTTGTGTAACCGAGCAACAAACGAGGACTATAGGTACTCAAAAAAGTTAGAATATTCGACAAACATGCTCTAAAACACCTTTAAGTCATGAAGAACTAGGATAGAAGCTGTATTTCCTTTGAAACAATTGCTTTAGTTCAACAGCGCTAAGTTCAACGAGAATAGACGCTGCTCACCAAGCGCCGCCTATAAAAAGAATTATCAGACAATGTTTAACCAATTGTCCAAAACTTCAGCTCGATGATATCCGTCGGTGCTAAGCTGTTCAATCTCTTTCATAATGATGTGTTTGTGTTGCGGTGATGATTGTCAAGGCTAAAATAAAATTATGTTTGCATTTCAGTACTGACGTCAACATCGTCACTGAATTGAAAACTTATTTACACAAAGAATAATAATGACAAATAAGTGGGTAACAATGAAATTCTACAAGTTGATTTACATTACATAGATTCGTGAGTATTATTTCAGCAGAACAAGAAAAATATTATGTGCATTATGAAAATGAGTTCATTTCTATCCATCATAAGAGTGTCCCTGCTCTTCATTTCTGTTGGACATTGCGTGGACGCACGGTATAGTAGTGGTGTTAGTGGAGGTACCCTTGATTCTGGGACGACTATAGGCATAATTATCGGCATTATTGCTTTCGTTGTTTTATTAACTATGTGTGTGGTCATTAGACTGTGCATTATCAAAAAGACGAGGGCTCAACGCATGTGTAATCCGATGCCAGTCTACAATATACAGCCGTCATATTCAAAAGATTATCCTTATCCTGTTCCACCACCACCTTACAGCGAAGCGATCAAAGTTTGAGTATAGAAAGTATTTTATCCAAGAATATGGTAAATAAAACCAGAATTTGTTTTTATAAACGGTCTCCACTCCTTGAGTGTTCCTTATTTACTCAAAGAATAAGTTCTAAGACGAGTTCACCTTCATAAACAATACGATATTACTCCAATTCGTGTGACTCTGTGTTCAGGCTTCGTAATAGCAAAAACCAAAAAGTAGGAGTAGGAGTAGGATTTTTAAGTCCTTTATGGTAGGATTTATATCAAAAAGTAGGTAAAGTAGCTTTTAGCTTTTAATATTAAAGTTCAACTGTTAAAGTTAACAAAAAACATTAACAATAGGATACTAACGATCCTTCTAACGTATTTAAGATACGCCTTCAAAAAGTCTAAAAGAAACGAGCAAATAAAAAGTCTATGATCTTTTTTCTCACAAAACATAGTTACCCACTTTCATTGTGATTAGTTTCACTGCATCTTTCTAATTTATTATTCATTTTTTAAGTTTTTTTCTCAATTTATTTAATTCATCATTATTTTCGACTATTTCTTCACGTATTGACATTAGTTTTGTATTGCTGTTTTCAATAAACATTTGTGCGATATCAACTTCATTAAAATCACGATTTTGGATAGCGTGTTTTAATCTTTCATTTCCTTCATGTAGATATTTTTGTGCATTATCAAATTGCTGTTGAAGAAGTTTTTGTACATCTAACAAATCGGTCTCTTTTTCTACGATATCTTTTTTTTCGTTGTTCTTATTACTTTGAGCAACATCGTGTAAAATTTTCTTTTGTTGCTCAAGATATTTTTGATAATTAACAGATGAATTTGAGACTACTGATAAAAGTAATTTTGAAATAGGCATCTAGGAGTTACAAAATTAAAGCTTTAACAGTAGGATAATGCGCTTTAATCGCTACAGTTATTATTACTTTATGAGGTTGTCCATCGCCATATAACCTCACAGCTGAGCTTGTTGTGCGTAAACCATTGATAGATGCTTGATTTAATAATGATCGATCATCACTAATAATATTTCTGTTTTCACTAACGCCGCGCTCTACATCAGCATTCCCATGCGATAATGATAATAAACATTTGACTAATTTAGCTGTTGTATTATATTTTGGAACACCCAGTTCATCTGTCAATAAAAATACTTTATTCCAGTAATAATCCATCGAATGATATACAACATGTGCTAAATCATAATCATCTGTAAATTTGCTTTTCACAATCCATTCATTTGGTATTGTTTCTAATGTGTAGGATATCCATTCGTATTTTAAACGATCAATATCCGTTGTACTAGTTAATTGTGGCATTGATCGTGCCAGTCTTAAATAGCAGGAGCTACTTTCATCTTCATTTCTCATTGATGGCTGGATACATTTCAAATCTTTTAATAGTTTATTTTTCAATGGTAATGTACGAATCAATTCTTTAGTAATTTTACAATAAAATGAGCGCACATCAACAAAAAACTGTTTTTTCTCTTCAATAGTCAATTTATTTAACGATTTTCTTGCCTGAAACATTCAAAAATGGCAATCTTTATCGAGGGATCAGCTTACCATCAAAAGTATGGGGTAAATGTCGGTTTTGAGGGAGATAAAACCACGTCAATCAGTGCGGAGTCATGACTTATATCCCAATCAAGATAAAATCTCGATCGCCCTATACGATTTCACTCAAAGTATACAGTTGAATAGCTCAAAGTGTTCTCTACAAAACTACGCAGCTCCGAGGTTGCTAGCTATCAGTCTGCCTGATCCACGGCAATTTTGCTGGGACCTATCTATCTCGTCCGATTAGGTCTGACAATCTTAGAACCAACTCCAAACATAGGTTATCGACTAGGCTAAATCTCACAGCAATGTTAGTTTTCACAATAAAATAGAAGAACCGAGTGAAAACCTATACTAGGTGGAATAATCCATTTTTGACTATTTTCATGGAAAATTAAAAAATTCATAACTCGATCAAAAACTACTCAGACTACTTCAGAATATCAACATATACTCTGTTTTATCTGTGGTGTACTATAAAGCTCAGTAAATGTTTTAAAAACCAGCAGAAAATACTTTGGTTTTTGAAAGGCTTTCCAGAAACCTTCGGGACTAAGAGAATATTTTTTAGTGTCACTAAAAAATATTCTCTAACGGATAAATATCCCGTTCGGGATATAAGTCATGACTCCGCACTGTCAATATAGGTAAAGGGCTACGTAACAGACAAGTAACCTACCATTTCACCGATTTCAACCGTTGAGTTTTGTTGGTGGTTGTTTTGTAAATCAAAACTAAGATTCAACAATTCGTCAACGGTTTTGTTTTCAATAACATCTTTTTTAATAAATGATAAGCATACTGTTTTCAATAAATCACTGCACTGATCATATAACATATGAACTAGTGGACCTTCTTGTTGAAACCATGTTAAAAATTTTTTAAATATTGTTCTTGATATATACAACAAAAACTCTAATCGAATTTTAGATATTGTTGATGTCAGATATAGTTTAACACGTCTATAACGATCACAGTTTTCTATATCTGATTTACAATGTTGTGGCATGAACACTAAGAAATACTCTGCTATTATATCCCACTGCTGTAATACCCGTTCAATACAATTACCAATCTCAATCCACCTCGTATTAACAAATCTTAACATAACTTTCGCTACTGAATCACATATCGATTCAGCAACGCAAACAAAATCTTCTCTACGTGCTGCGGAACGGCTAAATCAATACCAAAAGTCGTATAAACTATCATCAACCGACCATTTTAATGTTGATAAACCTGTTTTAAATGAGTTATGAGCAATATGCAATGGACACGACCCAATACGGAATAAACCATCAAGTATTTGATCATCATTACCATTATTACTCGATAATTGTTTTCTTCTTTCATTCATTATTTCTTTATCAATAATATTTTCAACAGTTTTATTAACATTGGGATTATCTCTTCCTACAGCAAATAGCAACAATTAAAACAAGAAACAGCAAACTTTGTGAATGGTACCTAGCATCAATAATTTTTTAATATCAATACCATCAGTTTTCAATGAGTCAATTATTTCTTTACTTATGATTGCACCTGTTGCATGCCCAAGAAGAATACTTTTGAAATATCGAACTACAACACCATGATGTTCTTCACTCCAGTATCTTAAATAAATATCTAATTGCTTTTTTACACCCACCGTAGTTGTTTCGTCATAAATTAATGAGTAACCATTGGATTTTTTCACATCTTTAACTAATTCATCATGAAAATAAACACTAATTCCATGTGCTATTACATACGATACTTTCTTAGAGCGCATAACAAAGTCAGTAGCTATGCGACTGTCTGGAAACATTGTTTTGAATAAATCTGACATATATTCGTTTGACCTGTAACTATAGCCATAACGAGCTATAGCCATTGACCATAATGTTTCTGCCTGACATACTTTTTCTTCATGTGTTAATAAGCATCATTGCTGTTGATTACGCTCAAGAGTTATCGATAATGATGATGATGCAAATCGTTGTTGTCCGTTTTTAAATATTTCATTTATTCTTTTCATATGTCGGCTGCGCTCATAATGTCTCTTAATAGCAGTCCAACCATTGTTACCACAATCACGTTCCTTTGGACCACAAACAACACAAATAAACGTTGTTTTCTTTTTTCCCTCTTTCAACCAACGATTGCATGGGTTACCAGTATTATCTAATTTGTGTAACCATTCATTAGAAAACGACGTGATATTATTAGGCATTTTTTCCTAACAAATGTGTAACTGTATCTAATATTTGATTGACAGGGAAAATACTTTAATTTCGTATTTTATTAAAACAATTTAAAAATATTTAAAACAAATATATAAGACAATCAAACGTTTCGACCTCTTTTAAATTGAGATCTTCTTCAGTGAACTTAATAAAATATGTATAAAAATATATAAAAAATAAAATTATAGTTAAAATTGTTACATATAACGTGTGTAGCTTTAAGATTGTAATGTGACTGTTTCAACCTATTTCTTTACTGTCACTCGCCTATTTTTCTTTTTTTTAAAAAGAAAAAGAAAAGAAAAATAGGCGAGTGACAGTAAAGAAATAGGTTGAAACAGTCACATTACAATCTTTAAGCTACACACGTTATATGTAACAATTTTAACTATAATTTTATTTTTTATATATTTTTATACATATTTTATTAAGTTCACTGAAGAAGATCTCAATTTAAAAGAGGTCGAAACGTTTGATTGTCTTATATATTTGTTTTAAATATTTTTAAATTGTTTTAATAAAATACGAAATTAAAGTATTTTCCCTGTCAATCAAATATTAGATACAGTTACACATTTGTTAGGAAAAAATGCCTAATAATATCATGTCGTTTTTTTTTTAAAAAGAAAAAGAAAAGAAAAATATGCGAGTGACAGTAAAGAAATAGGTTGAAACAGTCACATTACAATCTTAAAGCTACACACGTTATATGTAATTTTCTTTTTCCTTTTTTTCTTTTCGTTTATCCTATTTCGAGATCTAGCTATTGATTTTATCTCTCTCTCAAGGAATGAAATGAAGATGTACTTGTTCGTACGAAAATAGAAGAACCTGCTCGTTTAAAAGACGAGTAAAGAGCATATGCGGAAAGTAAAACAGAGAGATGTCAGAAGATCAACGTTAGCACAACGCGCAGAGAATCCGGGTTGTTTTGTTAATTTCAAAGAAATTTGAAAAGAAGAAATAGATTGAAAGCAAAACATAAAAGAAGAGAACATCCTCAGATGATATTTGTTGAGAAAAAAAATTCTTTTTTTATCTTTATGATCTTGTTCGAAATTTTACAAGAATACGTGAAAAGTGGATCAATATTTCAAATAATATTATGTTGATAATGAAATCTAAATTTTAATATAAACTCAATCTCCCTTTTTGCCTGAGAATTTACTAAAAAACAGAAAATTGAAAAAGTAGGAAAAGTAGGAGAAAATCCAGAAAGGAGGACATAGTAGGACGGTTTTATAGAAAAGTAGGAAAAGTAGGACGTTTGCGAAGCCTGCAATATGCATTGAAACTTTTCATTCGGAACTCATCGGCATAAAACATAATTTACGTAGGCATGTCGTGAATCATCAATTAATACGAATTCCAGTCCTCTTAACTTGTCCAAGAAAGCACAAGAACTACTGTAGATAAATCTTTAGCTGATATGAGTGTTAACATTTTGGAGAGAGTAAATATTTGATATCTATGCTGCTTCATGAGCATCGTCAATTAAACAACTAAGCACACCTTTTATGTGGCTCACTGATAATAATTTTCAAAGTTAGAATAAGTAAATATCTGCATGATATCAGCTTGATGATAGTGACGTTAAATTATATATAGTCGCAAGTAGCTATTGCATTTTTCAGTGGCCATATATAGAATTGTCCGGAAAGTCCGTGCAACTCATATATTATGGACCTATAGGATTATAACTGTTGCATTTATTCAATGTATTGACCTTACATAATATATGGGTTGCAGGGACTTTCCGGACAACCATATAGTTTTATTAAATTCGAGAACGTAAACGTGCAATAATTATTCACGGAATTTTACTGATACGAAACTGCTAGTGACATAAAGTGATGCTGAGACGACATAATATGGGTCCATTTTGGTTTGCAATATTTTTTCAATTGATATACGTAGAAGTGCGGTCATATGAGACAAAAACAGTTAAACTTAATCCACATCCAACTCCTGATCAACTAGCTTGGTTAGAACAATCAGATATTGGCTTTTTGATTCATTATAATATGGCAACATTCATACCAGTTGAATATGATGGTTGTAATCGTGTGCCATCATTAGTGCCTGATATCGATCTATTTTATCCTGATACAGTGGATACAGATAATTGGGCAAAGACATTTATGGATGTTGGTGCTAAATATGCTATATTAGTAGCTAAACATAACTGTGGTTTTACAACATGGCCAACACAAGTTACATTTCAATTAACAACAAATGAAACAATACTTTATAATTACTCTATTTTGTATAGTCCAACATCGGATACAGATCTTGTTAGTAGATTTATGGATTCTTGTCAACAAGCTGGAATCAAAACTGGATTGTATTATTCAATTATATGGAATAATTGGTTGAATGTACAAGATGCTCGTGTTCAACCTGGACCACTAGCACCTGGTCAAATACCAATTACTCAAGCAACATATGAATCCATCGTTCTACAACAATTAGAAGAAATATGGTCGAACTATGGACCTTTATTGGAAATATGGTTTGATGGTGGTTATCCACAGTCGTTAAAAAGTGGAATATTAGCTTTACTCAAAAAGTATCAAGCAACCGCATCAGTTTTTAATGGATTTGGCCTAACGAATAATAGTATCCGCAATACTGGTAATGAATTCGGCTACACTCATGAAGATACATGGCTGACGGTCAATGATCATGCCCAAGAAGATGCTAATGGAGACCATTTTTCACCACCTGAATGTCCCACAACTTTACAAGTTAGTGATCGATGGTTCTATGGTGGTGCTGATTTTCCCATTCGACCATTGAATGAATTAATTGATTCTTATCATACAACTGTCGGTCGCAGTTGTAAATTAGTATTAGACTTAGCTGTCAGTCGAACTGGTCTAGTTGACCCTAAACATGCTAGCAGATATAAAGAATTCGGTGATTTTATTCGAAGCTGTTATGGAAAGCCATTATCCGGTCAATTTAATTGTTCAAGTACTAGCTGTATCTTACAATTTCCATCAACTCAATTAGCTGATCGTGTCGTCATTCGTGAAGACTTGAGAAGTGTACCTGGTGCTAGTATTCGTCAATGGTCTCTTGACGGATATATGATGTGGGGAGATTGTTTAGGTTGTTGGATACCAATTCCATCCGGTACAGGACAATCAATTGGAAATAAACGAATCGTCCTATTTGGTGAAGCGGTTTTTGTACAAGGGATCCGATTGAATATCTATAATACAACAGGTGGCCCACAAGTTTTGGCTCAGTTTGATGCGTACCTCTGCCAATGACGATGTCACGAGAAGGAAAGCTCATTTCTCCCTGAAAAAAAGGAGAACTTTTCGTTTCTTTTGATTAATTATGAGAATATATGCTATTGCATAAGTATTGACATTCTTTGACTTTTTTACGTTTCTTATAAAACTAAGTATATTTAATATAATTGAAAAACATTTTTGTAAAATCATTTTACATAAAAGGCGAGCTTTCGATACTTCAC